TCGACATGAATAAGGTTTCATGTCCCCTAAATAGTTATTAACCATTAGAAATATGTTTATAGTTGTATCTCTTTAAATGGGCTAATTCCTTCATTTATTGCTCAAAAAAAGTCGTGCAAGTATTGATATGACAAACGGAAGGCATCAAACTATGCCTGCCGGGCTTAATAAGTCCGACAGGCTACGAAATTTTTTCAAAAAATTGTTGGGTTGTTGGGCTGCCACTTGGAATTTTTTTTTTAAAAAAAATTGATGACTACTGGGTTGACACAGCCTGGTAACCATCATCAAAAGGAAAGAAAAAAACATCAGTGGTCATGACAAGATTCTACAGATATTATCGTATGTTTTATCTTTTAATATATTGTTATCATGCTTTTTGACAAAATTCTGCAAATATTATGGCCATTGGAGCTTATCATTTGGTGGTTCATTTCATGCATCTTTGATATACTATTTGTTTCTGTCTACATCCTCGACAAGTTTGAATACTTGGTGTTGCCCAAAATTCTACAAAAAAAAAAAAAAAATATCAATGTAGTTGATATTGCTTCTTTACCAATTGGGATAATTTCAGAAACCTTTCTTGAGATTTTTTTTAGTATCACTTGACACTCTTGAAGTTTTTAAAATATCACTTACCTTCTCTAATAATTGTAAAAAAAAAGTTATATTAATTCTTACTTGACACTTAAATTCACATATCAAATAAATAAAGTTCAAAAATTTTTTAAAAAAGAAACGAAAGTCACATGCTTCTCTTTCCTTTTTCTCCATCATTCTCTCTTACTCATTGTTTGGATTCATATGTAATATTTTATTTGTAAATTATAATAAATTAAATTTTATTTATCTTTTATGTTTTATGATTGTGATAAAGTGGGGTATAATTTATTTGCTTATTTTGTGTTAAGTTTTATAATAATTGATACAATTTAATAGTTTGCACAAGGATTGAGAAGATATTGAAAACAATGTAAATCAATTTTAAGCATATAGAGTTAAATTGGTGAAAACCTATTTCTTTTCAAATATCTTTTTTATTTTTAAAATTTATATTTTTATGAAGTATAGCATTATGATGTGGTAATACTACAAAAGATTAATTTTTAGGTGACGATTTTCTTGAATGAACAAAGGTTTAGGAGTATTTTTATTTAGCAAGTGAATGGGTAGTTTAGAGCTTTTAAAAATTTTGTTACACAAATAACAAAAATAAGGAAAGTAAGTGATATTTTAAAACCTTAGAAGTGCCAGGTGATATTAAAAAAAATCTCAAAGGAGGTTTCTGATATTATCCCTTACCAATTATAATTCTGCTCTCCTTCAATGCTTTGCCTAACCATTCTGCCAAGGAATGTATTGATACCGAACAACTATATCTTGAGGAAAAGTTTCAATACCAGCCAGAACACCTAGTCATGACCGCTGACATTTTTTTTTTCACTTTTGGTGATGGCAATTGGGGTGACACAGCCGTTAGCTATCAAGTTTTTAAAAAAAATTTAAGTGGCTGTTGCCCAGCAAACCAGCAATTTTTTTTAAAAAAATCCATAGGCTTAAGCCCGACAGGCATAGTTTAATACCTTCTTCACGTCAAATTAATATTTGCACAATTTTTTTTGAGCAATAAATGAAGGAATTAGCCTTTCAAATGACAGATGAAACCTGAAAAGTTACGAATGAAACGCAGAAAGCTACTTCTAGAATTCTGTCCAAACTTTCAATATTTTAAAATATTCTAACAATAGGAGTATCACCTATTAGCGGACAAGCAAAGACTTTACCATGCACTTGTCCGTCTCATTCAGTTCTAGATTATTATGCCCAGGAATTTGCATTCTGTTAAACGAATTTCATGAGGTTAAATTTTAATTTTATGAAGGCATGCTTGATTCTGTCATCATATTTCAGTTAAGTCAACCTCAATTGACCAAAAAAAGTTGCCTTGTCTGTCTCCTTGAGAGTACTTTCTCTCTTTGGAGAATTTTCTCCCCCGTAGTAGGTGTTTACTCGTTTTCAAAATTACCGCCATTTCTCCAAACTACTTCCACATTCATAATCGAAATTTGCATCCAAATTTCCCCAAAATAGACGGGTCCATAAACCGAATCTATGTAAGGAGTTTCTAATTGGGAGCCTAGAGTTGATCTCTAAGCTAGATCTGACGTTAAACAGGAACTAGAATGCATTCAAAAACCCAAATTGGATTCTGTTATTTTCTTAACATGTCGATTTTAGTGTCTGTTTTCTTTAGCTTATCTCTGCTTGTTTGTGGTTTAGGTAACTGGTAATGAAGCATAGAAGGTACAGCTTCTTCCTGCTTAGTCAAGGTGAGGCAGCTGAACTCGAATCAGGGGAGGATTGTGGTTCCGTGAAGGATGGAGGAGCTGGAGGAGGTGATAAGGAAATTTACTCTGTCAAGTACAGAGCAAGATGGCGTGTGGCTGGAGGAAGAGGAATTCACGAAGGGAATCAAGGAGTGTAGTATGAGTCTGTTGGGAAAGGTCTAGGGAGACAAGATAGCGAATATGAATGGGATCAGAAGCTTTGCAGAAAATATGTGGCTTCATCCAAAAAACTTGAAGGTGACACAGATCCGTGCTAATATGTTTCAATTTATGTTTGCGCAGAGATCAGATCTGGAATAAGCATTGAATGGTAGGCCATGGATTTATGACGGCCAAACGTTGATACTTTTGAAATGAAGGGAGGGAATTGAAGATGAACATTATGCTTTTAACAAGTGCAAAATATGGGTCCAGGTATGGAATCAGCCTCTACACTGGGTTACCAGAGAGATGGGGAAGAAGATTGGAGAAATATTCAATGAAGTGATCGGGGTAATCAGCCTCCTAGGAGGGGGTAAAGAAGGTAGACATATGCAGTTGCTAGTTGAATTTGATCTTACTAAACCTCTTCCTAGGGGTACTACGATTAAATGTAATGGTAATTGGTAAGATGAGATGGGTAGAATTTAGATATGAAAAATGCCCGAATTTTTGTTTTTGTTGTGGAATCATTGGTCATAATGAGAAGAATTGTGGATCTAAAGGTTTTGATATGAAATAGGAATAGCAATATGGAAACTGGCTAAGAACTAGCTTTTCTAGAAGCCCGAATAGGAAGGCCAATAACAGATATGAAGGGAGTGAGAAAGTGCGAATGACAGAGAATAACAATTCTAAGGAGTATCATATACAACAAAAAAATTCTGACAGTAGAGCTAAGAACTTACTTCTGACATATATAGAGGAATTCCATAAAAAGAAAGGAAAAGACTTAGAAAGAGAAATAGGAACTGGCGAGGCTAAGGGGGTTAGAAGGGGCGAGGAGAATCAGCAGGTTAAGAAGATTGGTAAGGTTTGGGAAAAGCAGATGGAACAGGGTAGAATAGGAAGGGGAATAGTGGAGCAAGATAAGAGGAGAGAAAGGGAAATTAATACAAATGGGAAGAGTTAGAGAGTTGGGAGGAGAGAGGTAAAGGAGATAGGAGTGGATCAGTCAAAAGAGAAAGTGAAGTATGATCAGGTGTGGATGGATTGTGATATTGACAAAGGAATGGACCAACTTATCTCTGTTGAAGTAAAAGAGGTCTGTCTAGAGGTCAAAGACAAAAGGGCTAGCAGTAATCCTAGAAAGAAGAGTAAAGGAAGGAACTGCAAGAGCTGGAAGAGGTTAGCGCAGGAAGTAGGGAGAAGGAAACCTCTTAGTGACATATCAAACAGAAGTAGTGAGACTGAATCAGGAAAGAGGAAGATTCCTAGTGTTGAAGTGGGGATGAACAGTGGTACTGAGAGTAGTCATGGTCGGAAAAAGAACAAGAAGACTGATCAGGAGGAGTGTTATATGGATGTGTCTGAGGTGGTGGAACCCTCCCTTAATAGGACTTTCAAGTCCCTATGAGAGCTCTGGTGTGGAACTGTTGAGGTATTGGAAGCCTCTTGACAGTTCCTCAATTCAAGGAGGCTGTGGTACTCCACTCCCCTTCTTTAATTTTTTTTTCTGAAACAAAAAATAAAAAAGTGTTTTGAATAGTGTTAAGCAAAAAATAAGGTTTGATAATCTCTTTGTTGTAGACCCTGTTGGTCTGGCTGGGGTTTGGCAGTGATATGGAAGAATGAGATTAATGTTAAGCAGGTTTTGTTCACTAGCTTTACTATCGAATTGCTGATGATGATAAGGATACAAAGTTGGAGTGGTGGTATGTGTGCATCTATGCCAGTCCAGACGCTAATATTAGGAAAGAATAATGGAATGTGGTGTCTGGGAGAAAATAGGTCTGAGGGAAGCGTTGGGTAATCATAGGGGACATGAATCATATAGTATCTAAGGGAGAGATATGGGGTGGTAGGGATAGAGTAAAAAGCAGTTTTAAAAACTCCAGAGACTTCATTGATAACAATGATCCAGTGGATATAGGATATGAGGGGAAACCTTGGACATGATGTAACAGGTGGGATCCAGGGTGGAAACCAGAGAAATGTTAGACAGAGTACTAGGACCTAGGAGCTGGTGCAATAGTTACAGGTATGCTAGATGCAGTCATTTGGAGAAAGAAGCCTCTGACCACTATATGTTACTTTTGGACACAAAACCAGATAGGAAGAGATGAAAAAAGAGATTTGTGTTTGACAAGAACTGGCTCTAGTACAAGAAGGTGGGGAATTTAGTAAAATCTGCATGGAGCACAACTTGCAAAAGGTCTAGATTCTTCAGGATGCAGAATAAAATCAGACAATGCAGAGTGGCCTTATTTAGATGGAACAAGCAAAAAAGAAGTAATTTTGGAAGAATCATTACTTAAAAAAAAAGATATTAAGGACATAAGGGACAACAGTGTAGGTAGGAATAGAGCTAAATTGGCAGCTTTGAAGAAGGAATTGGCAGAAGCCTATAAGAAGGATGAGATATATTTGAGTCAAAAGGCAAGACATGAATGATTGGAGGAAGGAGACAAGAATACCAACTACTTTCATGCATGCGTGGTTGGGAGGAGAATGAGCAATAGGATTGGTCTCATACAGAAGAGGGATGGGGACTGGTGTAAAGATGTGGAGGAAACTGGAGTTGAGATAATCCAATACTTCAAAGACATTTTTACTTTTGAAGAACCTCAGGGGATAGATGATATATTAAATGATATCCCACAGTCCATAACCAATGTGAAGAACAAGCAGCTTACCTCACCAGTGACTGAGCAGGAGGTTCACAGACCTGTATTTTCTATGCATCCAAGCAAGTCACCTGGACCAAATGGTATAACTCCTATCTTTTTCCAAAAATTTTGGTTTGTTATTAAAATGGATCTGATCAATGCTATTCAAAATTTTTTTCACTCTGGCAACCTATTAAGAGTTGTTAATGAGACTTTGATCTGCTTGATTCCCAAAGTTAATTCCCCTGTTAATATTATGCAATTCAGGCCTATAAGTCGATGTAATGTCCTATACAAAGTCATATCTAAAATCCTAGTTAATAGGTTAAAAACAGTTATTCATTGTTGCATCAATCCCAATTAATCTGCTTTTGTTCCAGGCAAACAAATTTTGGATAATGTTCTTGTTGCTCATGAATGCAATCATTTCCTTAATAACAAAAGATCTGGTAAAAAGGGATACGTGGCTATCAAATTAGATATCTTCAAAGCATATGACAGGATAGAGTGGACCTTCCTAGAAAAGCTTATATTGAAAATAGGGTTTTGTCAGCAGTGGGTGGGATGGATTATGGAATGTGTATCTAGTGTTTCCTATTCAGTGAATAGTAATAGGGAGAAGAAGGGCTTTATCAAACCAATTAGGGGACTAAGACAGGGAGATCTTTTGTCTCCCTTCCTATTTCTAATTTGTGCAGAAGGCTTCTCAGCACTGTTTAATCAGGCAGTAAGACAAGGAAAATTGACAGACCTTCAAATATCTTATGGTGGTCCTAGACTGTCTCATCTCTTTTTTTGTAGATAACTCACTAATCTTCTGTAAGGCAAAGGAGAAGGAGGCAAGGTAGCTGATGGAAATGATAAGGAAATACGGTGATGCTTCAAGACAGCTAATCAACACTGAGAAATCCTCAGTCTTCTTTAGCAAGAATATTCAAGAAGGGGAGAAATTGAAAGTGCTGGAGAAATTGGAAGGGATGAAGACAGTAACACAAAGCAAGTACCTGAGTTTACCATTGGTGATTGGAAGGTCAAAAACATAGGTATTTGATTTTGTGAAGGAAAAGGTGCTTAGTAGAATATCAGGATGGAGAGAAAAAATGTTAAGTATGGTGGGGAAAGAAATGTTGCTGAAGTCTATGGTCATGTCTCTCCCTGCATATGTTATGTTATGCTACAAACTCCCAAAGGAGGAGGTATGTAAAGGTATTGGAAGAGAAATGGCTAAGCTTTGGTTGGGAAGTAATAGAGAGAAAAAGAAGATACACTGGATAGGGTGGGAAAAGTTGTCTAAAGTAAAACAGAGTGAGGGCCTGGGCTTTAGAGATTTAGAAAGCTTTAACCAGGCTTTTCTGGCTAAGCAGCTATGGAGGATATTCACAAGGCTAAATTTATTGGTAAGTAAGATCCTTAAAGTCAGATATTTCAAGGGCACTTTAGTTTGGAAAATGAAAGGGAGGAGCATTGATTCTTGGTACTGGAGAAGCATATTGAGTGCAAGGACTTTATTGGAGAAAGGGGTGAGAAAGAGGGTGGGGGATAGGAAAACAATAGATATCTGGGAAGACAGATGGATTCCAGGAGCGGTAGGAGGGAAGGTGAGCACACAGAGGGACCCAGAACTAGGACTATGACCCAGAACTAGGACTATGTAAAGTTAGTGAATTGATAAAAGATGGCAGTTGGAATGAGAAGCTACTACAAAAAGTATTTGCTAAGGAGGATTAGGAGAGAATTATGAAGATCCCTCTAAGTCTTCAGGACACAAAGGACAAGCTATTCGAGGCATATTCTGCCTCTGGGGAATACACAATTAAGTCTGGATATAGAGTTGCAAAGGGACGCATGGCATGGAGGAATAAGAAGGGGAGTAATGAGGAATTAGGAAGTAGGAATGAGGTTAATGCTAAAGGATGGAAAGTACTATGGAATCTAAAGATGAAACAAAAGCTGAAACATTTTATCTGGAAATGTATGAAGGATATCCTACCAGTCAATGAAGGAATCAGGGCTAGAAGCAGGAAAGACAATCCATTATGTAAATGCTATGGTGTATACTCAGAATCGATAGAACACATGTTGTTTCTATATAGTCATGCAGAGGCAATTTGGAGGGTAGCACCAATACAATAGGATGGATTGGAAAACCTGAAAGGAAATTTTTGACTTTGGTGGTCTGAGTTGGTGGAAGCAACTGCCCGGAAGAAAGGGGAAGAACACATTACATTCATAGTCAACCTGTTATGACAAATATGGAAGGTTAGGAATGAGATAAACTTCAATGGGAAGGGGAGAGAACCACTGACAGTAGTAAATAGAGCACTGACAGATTGGATAGAATTCCAGAAAACGCAAGAAAAAGAAAAGGAGGAAGAGGTGGAGTCACAACAAAAAAAGATGAGACTAGGAAGATGGCAAGCTCCTGACAAAGGATGGATTAAGCTGAATACAGATGCAACACTGAACCAACAGACAAATAAAGCAGGTTGAAGAATTGTTGCTAGAGATTGGAAGGGAAAGCTGGTTGCCACATGGGCATGTCCCTCTTTCAAGTGCACTGAACCAAAACTTGAGGAAGCTCTGGCAATCAGAACATGAATGGTTAAAGCTATACTGGAAGGATGGGAGAGAATCATCATAGAATTTGATTGCAAGGCTATAATAGACAAGATAGAAAAGGATTTGGAGGATGTGGTTGTCTCCACAGTTCTGTAGGATATAAAGCTGTTGAAATATAATTTTGAGGAATGTTGTTTCTCCTTTGTTAAAAGGGAGATCAGCTTTGTTAGTCATTGCTTAGCAAGACTTGTTCTAAACTTAAGAGTAGTTGCTGATTGGAAAGTTAATTTTCCAGTTTGGTTGCTTGAGAGTGCTCAAGCAAATGTAGAGGAGCAGTTGCTCTAGTGCATGTAAGCTGTTTGCTTGTTAACGAAATGTTGCTGTTTTGGACAAGAAAAACCTCAATTGACCAAAACTTGAATTAATTATGGTGAGATTGAGGAAATTCTAATTAATAATCGACGAGCAAATAAAGTTTGATTTATTTCCAATGCGTGGCATTGGATATCTTTTTATCCAGAGGAAATGTTGCCACAAAAAGTATTAATACAATATTTTTTTAGTAGTTCATTCAAATTTTAGTACTACTAATGAATTCCAAGGTCGTGGTTTTCTCTTCTTTGAAATAGCCAAGAGTTGTGATTGTTTAATGATAAAATATGCATGCTCAAAAAAGAAAATTAAAATTAAAATTACACGTAGTTCTAAGCATAAGAAATATAAGAGGAATTTGTAGTACCATCATCGTACCACAAGCACACAAATGGCTTTGATACATTTATTTAACATAACATATTATTATTAGTTTGTACGAAAAGACACCATGATAAATATAATAATATAAGCACAGCATTTCCTTATTTCCTTATTCCCTTATTCCTTTCATTTCTTTCCTTCTCTCATTCCCTTCATTTTCTCTTCTTTTCTTTCCACTTGAAAATTTCCGTTCTTTGCTGTTGTCTCCAATTCCAAACCTCAGCTCCTGAACTTAATCGAATTTAGAACTTCCCTTCTTTTTATCTCTTTTTAGTTGATGTTCACTATTCAGCACATCTCATTTCCTTTCCTATCCTCGTCAACCCATCCCTCAGCTCCTAAACTTTAATAGAATTAAGCTAGAACTCCTTTTCTTTTCCTTTCTTTTCAGTTCGTGTTCACTGTTCAGCACATTTCATTTTTTTTCCCATCATCTTCAACCTCACCCCACAATAAAATTGAGACCTTCTTTGTTCCTCCTTCTTTTCATTCCGACTCCAAGTGAAAAGCCAATCCATCGCGACCAAACCATAGTAGTAACAATTTGTCAGATGCCTATGCCCAAATATGATATGAATTTCTCCAATTTTCACCTTTACTACATTGGAGTTGACGGAGATCTGGATCCCGCGCTTTTAAACTAACGAGGAATCTCTATACTCTGCTAATTTTTGAATCTTAAAAATATATGATGGTTCTATTGATTGAAAATGATAGAGAAGATGCTAGTAGCGGCCCAACTAGGTAACGGCTCTATATTTTGATGCGTATTTCTCTAATTTATTTATTGCCGTGGCTGGTTTTCATCTATTGGGCACACTCCAATTTCCTTTTTATTTCTTTTTCCTTCTAAAGCTCCATTTTTCCCTTCAAAATACATCATGAATAAACGAAGATTTTACATGACCATTGTGTCGAGTATCAGCGTTCGATCAGACGGATCATACAACTCAATTGCGAAAGGTTTCAATTCAAAAGCTTCAAAATTGCCGTCAACCAAAGAGTGGGCAAACCAGATTCATCGGCCAAGTTTGTTTAATACTTTTCCTAGTTTATTTGGACTTCTCGTGGAATTTGATTTAATTAAACAATGTGTGCTTTTTATCTTACACAGGCATATACAGTGTTGTGTATGATTATCCAGACTGGGTTGGCCATAAGGCCTATGGTTCTGATGGTTGGGCCCAATACAATTATATTAAGAACTGCTTGCATATAAATGATGATAAAAACATCGGAGAATCCATTTTGCAGCAATCTTTCCACGGCCTTCCAGCGTTGTCAGACAGTTAACTGGTTCGTATAAATTTCCTTTTGGTGTATGCTTTCGGGTGTAAAATTTTGCTTTATACTAATAATTTGTTTTTTATTTTGAAACAGAGGAAGTCAATTGAAGAAGTATCCCGCGATCTATCGGAGATGTTTGACGGATACATTTGATGTTTGACGGATACATGTGTCCCATATTGGACTATTTTCATGGCTCTCAGCATTTAGATATTTCTTGACTAGCGCACTGATATTTGTCTTACTTTTACCCATGACGAGTTTTACCACCCAGTTTTAGATACGTCAAGGTCTAATCATAGAATATTCATAAACATATGACTATGTAGAGGCACACAAACCAGTTACGAATTACCTTTTTTCTTTATTGGCAAGTTGTTCATTCAATTCTTTTTTTTTTTCCTTCTCAGCATCTATTTTAGAATGATCTTTAATCTTTTCATTTCTTTTATAATATTTGTCTTTGTTTGTTAGCTTTAATTTTTATGATACTTTGCTTTCAAGTAATCTATGTTAAATGACAACATGATTGGCCACCAACAATGCATATGCTTCGAAGGATAGAATTTGTTTAGTGGCTCTCGTAAGAGACAAATAATTTGAAACAAATTGATGTATCACAAACAATTTTAGTTTTTTTAAAATAGTAAGAAGTTTGCATCAAGACATCTACAATAGTGAAAAGGACTCAAATCAGAAAACAATTTTGATTCAAGAAATCTATAAACTGCCAAATGATCAATCGGGATGGCAAGTATCAAGATTGATCATAAGAACATAGGAACAATATTTTGTGACTTCAAAACATCCAAAAACTCCAATTAATTCCCAAAATAGTCACAAGCTTCCTAAACAACGTTTAACTCACTTAAAAACTTGAAAAAGTAATAATTCTATCGTCGTTAAGAACTCATTTCTAAATTTTGATAATCCAAATTTCGAAGATTCTTCATTGCGTGTCAAAAAAATATATGGAAGTAGACAAATATAGCAAAATATTTATGCAAGAAATTTGAATCGAAGAAGCACGGGAATCATTACTTGTAGATCTACGAGAAGTATAATTACACAATGGAATTATATTTCTCAAGTCAACAGTCTCTAAAAGCTTGAAATTTTAAAGATAAAGAATAAAAGTATTATTATAAAAAAATGAAACGAAATGCTTCTAATCAGTCAAAATAATATGTGCACAATATTCAA